CCCATCTTTCAGTTCACTCTTCCTTACAATAGACAGGGCTGGGAACCAGGAATTGCATTCCTTTCTGCCACATGGATGGCAGGGACCCAGCTACCTCAGCATTTGCTTACGGCCTCCTGGGGTTTGCTTTAGCAGGAAGCTGGAATCAGAAGAACTGGGTCTTGAACCCAGGCGCTCTGATATGTGGTATTGGAGTCCCACAAAATGCCTGGCCCATATGTTAACTTTTTGAATTTAATTTTGTTATTTAAGTTTGTTATTTAAAAATATGTAATAACTTCTACTTTAGTGAATTAAGGCAATAAGGTGAGACTAGGTTATTTTAAAAATAAGGTTTTACTTCATTGTTTAAATAGAGGAGATCTTTAAATATACTGAAATTACTTGTTGCTAAAACCACTGAGGTATTTTCCTATTTTTCTAACTTGTTTTCATTGCTATAACTCACTGTTAAACAATCTAGAATTTTCTTTTTTCAAAGACATTTGGGCAAGGTGGGGCTGCAGTGTATGTTCTATTTCTGGTTGTTTTCTTTTACAATATTTGGTTACATGTGAAAGGGACAGACATTGAGTAACCACTCTTTTTAATGAAACACAATGAAAATTAAAGTTCATTAGAAGATGAGCCCAGGAAATTGTTAAGACTTCCAGATGTTATGCTCCAGTACAAACTAAAAAGCATTTCTTTTATGTGTTGCAGATTCTATTAATTTCTTTTATAGACCAGTCCAGTGTGAAGACAGCCTGTCTGAAGAATACCTACTTTAGATGTTACCAATAATGACCTCCTGCATTGCTGACCGGTTTTGCAATTGCAGCATCTACAGTGAGTCCTTTGTGTTTTGTTGCAGATCGGGGTGGCTCAGTGATTGTGCATAAGTCAGTTAAATGTGGTACTCCCGTACCTTATTCTAGGAGCTAAATACGATTAGGTATTTAAATTCAAGTTTAGCTCAAGTACAAAAAAGAAATCAGAAACTAGAACAAAACACCCACCAAAGAGTGTTTACAAAAAATCATTACTTCATGCAGTTGCAGTACCTTTTAAAAAATGATGATACTATAAAATATCATTGTCAACATCAACAATTAGTATTTATAATATTCTAAACTGAAGCCAAATATTTACCTTAAAGGCCTATTGATTTAGAGAATTTTCATTTTTTACCAACCTCAAATAGCTAATTATTCATATTATTCTTAACCTGGAACCACCCTTTCCTTTACTAAATGGTTATTCACGGACGCTTCTGGTTATCTCTTGGGTGATGTTTTGAGCTCAGAAACTGTTGATGACATATATTTGAAAAAGCCCCATATTGCTTATATCTGAATCAGAGGTAGATACCTATCTCTGATTTAGTCCAAACAGTTGTGTTTGCTCATTCTGTGGGTTTTCAAATTCCACTGTGTTTAGGTAGACTTGTTAGAACCTTTATAAATACCAGCTCAGCCCCACTGTGTGAAAGGTGGCATTTGAAACCACAAACCATTTCACTAGTAGTAACCAGAAGGCCTGGCTTTCCTTTGAACAATAAGCAACCTGAGATAAGAACTTATGTTGAGGAGCAATTTGTCCACACATTGTGATGTGATGACATATCCTGCTAGTTGTCTAAATCATTTCTCCATGAGCAATATTTAATGGGCAAGTTGTGTGATTACTTTCTTAAGGAATCAATGTGTATTTCAATCTTCTGAAGAATTTTTATTTATCTCTACTAAAGAAAATTACAAAATATGTTCTAGCATATTTGCCTTAACCTTTCTGTGTGTGTGTGTGTGTGTGTGTGTGTGTGTGTGTGTGAGTATGCTGATTATGGTCTTAAACAGAATGAGAAACAGATGAAAACACTAAAGCTGACTGATAGCAAACATTAATTTTAAAGTTGTTAAAAGTGGTCGTCATTTTCATTACTCATTAAAGATTATTATTTGGTGGAGGTACTGTTGTAGTGATCCTAGGAAAAAGCTCTCCTTTTACTCTTCATTCCATTTCCACAGTGGCTTTTTTCCATAGTGACTTGCATGAGATCCTGCATGGCTGATTCTTAACATTCGTTAATTTGATAACTAACTAAAAAAGGCTTCTTTTTAATAGTTTAAAGATGTCACATTTATACAAATATATGAAAAGCAATATGTTAAGATAGCTTATTTGATTTTTTCCTCCACTTTCAAACATTTACATGGCATTTTTTAATAGAAAACTTTTATTTAATAAATATAAATTTTGAAAGTACAAATTTTGGTTTATTTTTAAGCTTCTCCAAGAACGTCTTGTATATTATCTAATGTGACTTTAAAAGATTGTAAAAATTAGTTTGTTAAAAACAAATTAGTTTGTTAAAAACAAAGGCTTTCTAATGAGCTAGTTTCTATATGCTTGAGCGATAATTCAAATTCTTGGATAATTATTCATTTAATCTCAAAATTAAATATTGTATATGAAAGAGCTATAAAATAAATTATTGCTTTCTAGTGCCTGTTGAGCCCAAATCTAATCTTGAACTCTTTGGAAACAATCTATTCCAAGAGTATATTTGGCTGTATTTTGGATAAAAGTATAATAAATTTCCTTCAACTGATTATTCATATTTTATAGGCCTTTCTTATTTTCTCTAATGTACTGCTTACTCTAGATCATAGAACTTTATCCATATATTGGGTTACACCTTCCTTACTAATCCCAATCTGTATTCATGCTCTTTTTCTTTATTAATATGTTCTTGACCTGAGATTCATTTTTTTCTTGACTCTTAACCACCTAAATTGACTTGAATTTTCATTTATTTTAAAAAGTACAATAACTCTGAAGATGATGGCCTACACTGCTGTACATATTTACATCTGCAGATGTCCAGAGGTGGTACCTTGGTTTCATGGTATCAAATGTTTTGAAGGCAATAACAGAATGGAAGCCCATTCCTAAGTTTTGGGGCCTGTGGTGCTTTCCATTCTTCAAAATTCAAAGTAAACCTTGAGAAACTCGAAATTGACCATGTGCTTACCTACAGTCCTAAGTTTCTTTGGGCATTCCTGGAGGTATGGGAACCAAGAATCACAGGCTTTAAGAAATATCTGGCCGGCGCCGTGGCTCACTAGGCTAATCCTCTGCCTTGCGGCACCGGCACACCGGGTTTTAGTCCCAGTCGGGACGCCGGATTCTGTCCCGGTTGCCCCTCTTCCAGGCCAGCTCTCTGCTGTGGCCCGGGAGTGCAGTGGAGGATGGCCCAAGTCCTTGGGCCCTGCACCCACATGGGAGACCAGGAGAAGCACCTGGCTCCTGCCTTCGGATCAGCGTGGTGCACTGGCCGTGGCAGCCATTGGAGGGTGAACCAACAGAAAAGGAAGACCTTTCTCTCTGTCTCTCTCAATGTCCACTCTGCCTGTCAAAAAAAAAAAAAAAAAAAAAAAGAAAGAAAAGAAAAGAAATATCTGAGAATGTATTGAATGGAATTACAGTTAAGAACATGGAATCCTAGGTAACCTGGCCTGGGTTCAAATCCTAGTAGTATCGTTTCTTTTTTTTTATTTTATTTATTTATTTTTTTATTTAGCACAATCTCTTTTCAGTGCCTGATGTTGTAGCACGTGCCAGAATCCCTTTCCTTTTTATTTTTGACAGGCAGAGTGGACAGGGAGAGAGAGAGACAGAGAGAAAGGTCTTCCTTTTTCTGTTGGTTCACCCCCAAAGTGGCCGCTACGGCCAGCGGGCTGCACTGATCCGCAGCCAGGAGCCAGGTGTTTCCTCCTGGTCTCCCATGTGGGTGCAGGGCCCAAGGACCTGGGCCATCCTCCACTGCCTTCCCGGGCCACAGCAGAGAGCTGGACTGGAAGAGAAGTGACCAGGACAGAATCCGGGGCCCCAGCCAGGACTAGCACCCAGGGTGCCGGTGCCACAGGCGGAGGATTAGCCTAGTGAGCCTCGGCGCCGGCCCTAGTAGTATCATTTCTAAACTGTATGTCCTTAAGTAGCTCTTTTGTGTTCTCTTTGCCAAGGATTATTCATATGAAAAAATAAAGACATGTAGGCTGTGGTAAGGATTTTTTTAGAAAGCTTTTATTTAATAAATACAAATTTCATATGTATAGCTTTAGGAATATAGCAGTTCTTCCCCCCATACCCACCCTCCCACCCTTACTCCCATCCCACATCCTACTCCCTCTCCCATCCCATTCTTCATTAAGATTCATTTTTAATTATCTTTATATACAGAAGACCAATACTATTCTGAGTAAATATTTCAACAGTTTGCACACACACAGACACACAAAGTATAAAGTACTATTTGAAAACAAGTTTTACCGTTAATTCTCATAGTACAGTTCATTAAGTACAGAGGTCCTCCATGGGGAGTAAGTGCACAGTGACTCCTGTTGTTGATTTAACAATTGACACTCTTATTTATGACGTCAGTGATCACCTGAAGCTCTTGTCATGAGCTGCCAAGGCTATGGAAGACTTTTGAGTCCACAAACTCCATCAGTATTTAGACAGGGCCATAAGCAAATTGTAAGTTCTCTCCTCCTTTCAGAGAAAAATACATCCTTCTTTTATGGCCCCTTCTTTCCCCTGGGATATAACTCAAAGAACTCCTTCATGTAGATTATTTTTTGCTTCAGTGTCTTGGCTTTCCATGCCTGAAATGCTCTCATGGGCTTTTCACCCAGATCCAAATGCCTTAAGGGCTGATTCTGAGGTCAGAGTGCTGTTTAGGGCATTTGTCATTCTATGAGTCTGCTGTGTGCTTGCATTCCATGTTGGAACATTCTCTCCATTTTAATTCTATCTATTGTTATTACCAGACACTTGATCTTATTTATGTGATCCCTTTGACACTTATTCCTACGCACATGATTAGTTATACAATTTAAATGATCAGTTTAACATGTAAGATGGCACTAGTTATGTTAAGAATTAAATGAGATAGTGCATTTCAAATACAGTGTGGAGTAATCCCTCAACATATGCCAACCATTATAGTTGCTGAATTCCAGTGTAATGCTTTCTACCTGGACCTATGCAATTCATGTGGGACTCCATATTCACTGAGAGATCCTGCCAGTGCCCTTAAATTCCATCCACAGGATTCCAGTCCTATGAACATGCTACAGTACCCTGGCACCATCAATCTTGTTTCTCATCTAATTCTGTGGCTCCTAGGCAAGTACAATATTTCCCTCTATAGCTTCTTTACAGAGAATGTAGTTTAGAACTCATGAGGCTACAAACATTCTGGAAGCAGGACCAGATTTATCCTGATGGGCGTACACATATCATTTTGATATTCTTATTATGCAAAAAAAGTGAAAGTCTCTGCTTTCCTAGAACAGGAAAAAAGATATTTTTGCTAAGCAAAGTGAAAATTTTACTACTCTATGCTTCTTCCCACAGTACCCATAAATATGCTGAGGTCGTTTATTTTGCCAGATGGGGTTTGAGACCCTGTTGAAATAAGAGATGCCCTTATTTTATGTTTCCCTCAAATTCTACCACAAACCACACTTGGGAGGGACAAAAGTTGCTAAGTAAGCATGTTTACCTTCAACTGACTAGGAAGCGGAAGCCTATTCCCAAGTGATGACTCACATGGCAGACCTATAAAAGTAAAGGCACTTGTCTGGGGAGAGGCAGCAGTCTCCAGGCACGGCCATTCAAGATGCAGCCAGGTGTCCTGGCCGCCTGCCTCCTCTTGAGCTGGACTCATTGCTGGTCCCTGCCCCTCCTCAACAGTAACGAGGATGATGATTTGTCCGAGGAAGACTTCCAGTTTGCAGAGGTAGAGTATCTTGCCTTTCCATCCCGATGATGCAGTGCAACTCACACATCCCCTTCTTTTTGAAAAGCAGGTCACTTTGCTGTCTTTTCTAGAGCTACCTGAGATCATACTACCATCCTCTGAATCCTGCGGGAATCCTGAAGAAGAATGCAGCGGGCTCCATGGTTGACAGGCTCCGAGAAATGCAGTCTTTTTTCGGCTTAGAGGTGACAGGCAAACTTGATGATAACACCTTAGCTATCATGAAACAACCGAGATGCGGGGTCCCTGATGTGGGTGAATACAACGTCTTTCCTCGAACACTCAAATGGTCCCAAACAAATTTAACCTACAGGTAACTCACACACTATGCTACTTTAATATTTGTTAATTTTTTTCTTAAACAACTCAGTCTAATATTAAATATGTTAAATATTTAGTTGGAAGTTAAGTAAGTGCAAGGAATAGTTTTAGTACTGTTACTGAGAATGTCTCATGTTATCAATTGTTGTTATGTTAAACCAGAATTACTTTTTGGTGAACACCTCAAGCCAGTTCTTTTGGAAATGAAACCCAAATAGATGTGTAAGTGAGTTTGAGAAAATTTGTGAATGTAAGGTGTCAGGTACATTTATTTATTACATCAGTGATGAAGATGGAGAGAACTTCCCAGAGCTATTCCATTTATTTGGGCTATTATCAATATAATTAAATGTAAACTGGCAAAATAAATTATTTTAAGCATCTGAATATTTAAAATTTAAAATACTAAATTGTCAGATATATTTAAGTATCTGACTGGATTATTGACCTTTTATCCTTAGATGGTATCATGATTAATGGATTCTTCATCTAGTAGAACTTTTATTTTTTAAAAAGATTTATTTATTTATTTATTTGAAAGGCAGAGTTACAGAGAGGCAGAGGCAGAGAGAGACAGAGAGAGAGGTCTTCCATCTGATGGTTCATTTACCAAATGGCCACAATGGCTGGAGCTGGGTCTGTCTAAAACCAGGAGTCAGGAGCTTCTTCCAGGTCCTCCACATGGGTGCAGGGGCCCAAGAACTTAGGCCATCATCTACTGCTTTCCCAGGCCATAGCAGAGAGCTGGATCAGAAGTGGAGCAGCCAGGACTCAAAGTAGCTCCCATAGGGGATGCCTGGCACTGCAGGTGGTAGCTTTACACACCATGCCACAGTGCCGGCCCCTAGTAGAGCTTTTAAAGAAGCTATTACATTTTGAGTTGAAAAGCAACATTCCAAGAAAAAATATTATGAATTCCAAAATTTTAATTGAACCTTTCTTTGTTGAATAGGATTGTGAATTATACCCCTGATTTGACTCATTCTGAAGTTGAAAAGGCCTTCAAAAAAGCTTTCAAGGTTTGGTCTGATGTGACACCTCTGAATTTTACCAGAATTCACAATGGCACTGCTGATATCATGATCTCTTTTGGAACTAAAGGTAATGAGGCAAAGTCATTTTTTTTAACTTTTATTTAATGAATATAAATTTCCAAAGTACGATTTATGAATTACAATGGCTTCCCCCCCATACCGTCCCTCCCACCCACAACCCTCCCCTTTCCCACTCCCTCTCCCCTTCCAGTCACATCAAGATTCATTTTCGATTATCTTAATATACAGAAGATCAGCTTAGTATACATTAAGTAAGGATTTCAACAGTTTGCTCCCACACAGAAACATAAAGTGAAAAATAATAGATGATTTTTTTAAATGAAAGTCATTTTTGAACCTTAATTTGTTCTATGTTTTATTCCTCATTTCATTCATTCATTACTTTTTACATCATTCAACAAAAAATTCAGCAACAATAAATATTGTGCTAGAATACTACTTGCATTCATTACAATTCCTAACTATCACTTTTGTGTGTAGAACATGGCGACTTCTACCCATTTGATGGACCTTCTGGTCTTCTGGCTCACGCTTTTCCTCCTGGACCAAATTATGGAGGAGACGCCCATTTTGATGATGATGAAACTTGGACAAGTAGTTCCAAAGGTAATATCGGGTATATGGAGATAATTTATTGAATGTTAGTTCAGACAGTGAATATAATAATTGGAAAGTAAGTGAAAAGTGAATTTTATTTGGTATTTAATTACATTTTCTAATAAAAGTTTACCTCATTGTTGTTAGTCTTTATAAATGACATTTCTATAAATCAATGTTAATCATGAAAAATGAACAAAATCCACTTAGTTTATCATTGTGGTTTGAGGAATACTAACTAACTTTGGAGTTGTACCAAAATGTCATGTTTGTCATGCAAGGTATTGTTGCTGGCGATTACTTTTTGGAAGTACAGTTTGTTATAACTATATATGTATATCCAAAAACTGTTAGGGCTGAATCTATGGATCATAAATGAATTGGACATGAATTGAAACATTTTTTGCCTTGTTAGAGATATTGAGGCATAAATTCAAACTCCTGATCTACATTATATGAATTATTTGCTTCAATCTTGCTTATATCACCCATTTTATATATAACACTCTATGAAATCAATATAATGTTTTCCCCCAAACAACATGAGACAAGAAAAGATGAAGATTGTGCAGGGTTATTTCAAAAAGTTCATAAAAAATAAAATTAAAAGACTTTTATTTTGATGCAAATTTTTTTTGAAATGCAGACATAGAAGGGGTCTTCAACAATTTCTTGGAAAATGTATGGATTTTAAACATGATCATGGATTTCAAAATTATTTTGCAGCAAAACAAGCTTATCTTTTTTTAATTTAATTTTTTTATTTAGTAAATATAAATTTCTAAAGTAGTTGATGGATTACAATGGCTTCCCCCCCATAATTTCCCTCCTACTTGCACCCCTCCCATCTCCTGCTCCCTCTCCCATTCCATTCACATCAAGATTCATTTTCAATTATCTTTATATACAGAAGATTGATTTAGTATATATTAAGTAAAGATTTCATCAGTTTATCTTTTAATTACATTTTCCAAGAACTTTTGAAAGTACTCCATAGTTAAAAGAATTCAATGAAACAGGGTGTTGGATGAATTCATTTAGTAGTTGAATATTCTAGGCTCAAAGTAAATGAGAATGTTAATTTGGAGGGGGTCTGGGGAGCCAATGTTGGAATTAGGGCTTAACTCTGAAGCTCCAGGTATTTAGTTATGAAGACCAGAGATAGTCCTCACAGACAGCTGTTTTGTGATTCATTTAAATAAAAGGTCAGTTTTTCCAAAGAATAAAACTGAGTGGTAAATGATCAATGCCTCAACTACAATACCTCCATTTGGTCTTTGGAGGGAAAAGTAACAATTTTTATATTTGTATTCTGATATTATATCACAGGTAAGGATACCTGTGTGGTTTTCTCCCTCTTCATTTAGAGTAACTCTGTTCACTATCATTGCCTGACATGAGAATTGAAAGAGCAAATCAGGATTTTTAGCATCATCTCAGTAAGATCCTTATTGATTACTAATCATGTAAGAGCAGCAACCTGCTGACATTCCAGTCAATTGAATATTAATTTTAAAAAGCAGGATAATGAAAAAAGAGAAAAAGTAAGTAGCTAAGAAAGAAACATACCAAACAGATGGAAAAAAAAGGTGTTTTCTCATGATTTCTTTTCTTCTTATAGGCTACAACTTGTTTCTCGTTGCTGCCCATGAGTTTGGCCATTCCTTAGGGCTTGACCACTCCAAGGACCCAGGAGCACTCATGTTTCCCATCTACACCTACACCGGCAAGAGTCACTTTATGCTTCCTGATGATGATGTGCAAGGAATCCAGTCTCTCTATGGTAACTCTATGCTTTCTTGGTTATTAAAACAGAGTATGAGCAAACTTTAAAAGTTTATGGAAATGGAATTAAAAGGTGTTTGTTTTAGTGAAAAAAATTAGATATCCATGCATATTTTTCATATTATACATTTCCATAAACATGTTGAAGACTCCTTCCTGTCAAAGCAGGTATCTCAGCAAAAGAAATAATCCCCTTATTTCCTAAATTACTACTGAATTTATCACTACTAAAGCTGCTCCCCTAATTTCCTTATTAAAACCTGAAAAAAAAATCCATTTTTCTTTCCAAATCAAACTACTTGTTTAAGTAGAAAACATCACAATAGCCAAAGTTTGGGGAAAATATTGCTTCTTGCATTTGTATTTTATATATTACAAGGTGCATTTGATATCCTCAAAACACCACAGATATACGAAAGGAAAATATTTTATTTTCCATTTAACCAGTGAAGAAACTAAGACTTACAGGGCTTAAACACTGTGTTTATAGTAACACAGTTGATGGTGAAAGTGAGATGCTAACCAGCATTTATAAATTCTGGGTATTATTCAACCACTCCAACTGGCTACCAGGAAACCGCCATGTGGCCTGTGGTAAATTTTAAATGACATCTACACTGGCAGTGTAAGAAATTCTTCCTCATTTTTTCTTCCAAATTTTAAATAATATTTACAACATTATTAAACCTCAATCCAAACATTTCTTTATAGACTACTGGCCATGAATAGAGGTAAAACCACAGCTCAGTCACCAGTATAAACACTTCTGGAGCAAATAGTTCAGAAAACTTGCCATGCCACCCACTGTTTCTCCTGGATTTAAAATCTACTGCAGCAGCTAGTGTAAGGAAGGGGAGTCATTTGAATATGGCCTAGGGGATTTTCTGATTTATTTTGTAATTCTTATTTCTGCAATCTGGTGACCAAGAGACTGATGGTAGAACTAATATGAACCAGATAGCAGAAGAGCAGTATTGTGCACGCACCCATCTGCACTCTTGTGAGCTGGTGGAAAAGTTACAAACAGGTGGTAAGTCACATCAGAATGCTGGTGGCCTGGCTTGCCACTGAGATCAAGCTGCACGGCGGCCTACTGGAGAAGCAACATCAGCTGATGAGGACAGCTGGCGAAATAAAGAAGGAGTGAAGGTGATGGTTCTACAGGGCCCATGTGCCACCAGAAGTGAATTTAAGAGGAACATGTTTCTCAAGAGCCACTTGTCAATAGGTTGTACAAAGCATGGAGGAATTTTTCTCAGAGGATTTGACAGGCAGAGTTAGACAGTGAGGGAGAGACAGAGAGAAAGGTCTTCCTTCCATTGGTTCACCCCCAAAATGGCCGCTATGGCTGGCATCCCAACCGGGACTGGAACCTGGGGTGCCGGCGCCACAGGTGGAGGATTAGCCTAGTGAGCCGCCGTGCCGGCCTGCTTCCCCACTCTGTCATCAACCTCTAGAAACCTATAGTCCCAAAGAATCTCAGGGGACTTTTTGAAACAATTTCTTTCTTTATTTGAAAGGCTGAGTTTACAAAGAGAGGGAGAAACAGAGAGAGAGAGAGAGAGAGAGAGAGAGAGAGAGAGAGATCTTCCATTTTCTGGTTCACTCCCCAAATGGCTGCAATAGCCAGAGCAGAGCCAATCCAAAGCCAGGAGCCAGGAGCTTCTTTTTGGTCTCCCACATGGGTGGCAGGGGCCCAAGGACTTGAGCCATCTGCTGCTGCTTGCACAAGCACATTAGCAGGGAACTAGATGGGAAGTGGAACAGCCAGGACTCGAACCACATCCATATGGGATGCCAGCAATGCATCCCTCTACGCTGCAGCACTGGCCCCATCAAGGGATCTTAAAGGATGGAAACAGAGGAGTAGTCCCCCTGCAAGCCCTGGGTGAGCCTGGAGGAAGGAAGTTGGATTATAGGGTATGTGTACCATTCGGGAGGAGCTGCAGGATTTACTGCCCTTCCTGGAGGCAATCCCTTCCTGTTTTCTATGAGCAGGATCAGTCTTTCGTGCTGCAACAGGGGTCATCGGAAAGATCATGTTAGTAACTTCTTAAATTCTTTTTATGACTGCAGGTCCAGGAGATGAAGACCCCAACCCTAAACACCCCAAAACACCAGACAAATGTGATCCTTCCTTATCCCTTGATGCCATTACCAGTCTCCGGGGAGAAACAATGATCTTCAAAGACAGGTACAATTCCATGTGGCAAATATTTGTGAAGCTGTATCTTCCAAGTGCCAAAACCTCCAGGCAAACTTCCTGAGGGAAATTTTCAATATCTACATGGCTCTTAAAAGCTTATTTTTTCATTCATCCATCAGCTGATTTCTCCTTTATCCTTGATCCAATAGCATTCCCTCCTAGAGCTCTAATCTACTGTTCTCCACGTATTTTCTCATGTAGCTTTTTCCTCAGTCCATAAGAACATGGAAGATAGAGTTTGTGTAGCTTGTGTTTTGTTTCTGGACTCCAACACAGTGTCTCATACATCTTCTTGACATACATGATATGCAAAATTGAACAAAGCATGATCCCAAACCAAAAAGGACTTAGAGCCTTCATAAAGGGTTTGTAAGATTGCAAGCTTGAATGCCTTGGGCTGGAGTTCAGAGAACCACAGTTTCATAACTGGGAAAGGGATTTTTCTCCCCGACACAAGTGCTGGGCAAGGGTTGTGTCTCCTTTATCTGGACTGATGTGTAAAGAGGTGTCTAGCAGGATGGAAATATTGCACTTAAAATATGACAGGAAACTCTGCATTGTTACTTTTATACTAGATTCTTCTGGCGTCTGCATCCTCAGCAGGTGGATGCAGAGCTGTTTTTAACGAAGTCCTTTTGGCCAGAGCTTCCCAACCGCATTGATGCTGCCTACGAGCACCCTGCCCGTGATCTCATCTTCATCTTTAGAGGTAAGCCTTCCACAGGTGAGGCCTCCTACAGGAGCAGGGTAGAAGGCAAGGATGAACCTTGACACTACTAAAGACTTAGTAAAAAGGTCATTACCAAAAATATATCAAAATAAAGAACTAAATATGGCAAATGGAAGCCAGGAAGCATCTGAAACCATCCTACCAGATATCCCCTATTTTTTTAAAAAAAGATTTATTTATTTATTTGAATAGAAGAGTTACAGAGAAAGAGGGAGAGAGAGACAGAGAGAGAGAGAGAGAGAGAGAGATCCCATTTTCTGGTTCACTTCCCAAATGCGTGAATCAGCTGGGATGAAGGGGCAATGCCAGGAGTCAGGAACTTCACCCAGGTCTCTATTACTTGAGCCATAACACCTGCCTCCCAAGGACTGTATTAACAGGAAGCTAGAGTCAGGAGTCATAGCTGGATATTGGACCCAGGAATGCTAGAGAGGGGATGTGGACATCCTAACCAGACTTTTAACTGCTAGGCCAAACACCCCCCCCCCCATGAGGAAATTTTAAAGTATTTTTTTGCCCAGTTCCAAACTTAACCATCAGAGGTAAAAAAAAAAATTGTGATATTTGATTGTCTATGTTTAAACTTAGAAATAGGATTTTAAATCCTATTAATTTTTTTTAAAGTATACTCATTTCTGTTTCACAAATACGGTGACTACAAACACTAAAAATTGTTCTTCTAAATGTCCTAAATGAATCTTTATTTAAATAAATATCTACATATGTGAGTCCTAATAGATTCTCTTGGATAATCAAACTTTCTATCATTTATTCCAGGTAAAAAATTTTGGGCTCTTAATGGCTATGACATTCTGGAAGGTTATCCCCAAAAGTTATCTGAACTGGGATTCCCAAGAGAGGTTAAGAAGATAAGTGCAGCTGTTCATTTTGAAGACACGGGCAAGACCCTCTTCTTCTCCGGAAACCAAGTCTGGAGGTATGGCAGCAATGCTTCCTGACCCGTGCTGCGTCATCAGGGCAACGACGGCGTCAAACAGCTGTCACTCAGTTATTATCTCACACTTTATTTTAAATGTCACACCCGTCCTTTGCTTTTGTTTTTGTTCTGTGTCAACTCCTGCAGGCAGCCCCTCAGAGACATTTCAAACTCTCAAAAGACACATGTACCCATGTAATGCTCACCTCTGCTCAGTCATTCTTTCCTTCTTGGCCATCTGTTGCACCTCAACCATGGCAAAACCATCTCTTCTGCTCTGGAACCTTCATTCCTAATATTATTTCCTCTGTATTCTCTTTCTGGTCACCTTCTCCTAATGTACATGTTGCCCCATCTCCTGTGCTCAGAGAAGACAAAAGGAAATGTTGGTTGAGACAAGGCCCAGTATCTGCAGAGTCAGCTAATCCACTGAGGAGGATGACCGGGAAACTCAGAGCCCCATAGCTTATAAAGGCAGGCTTTCTGAAGAGTATGTGCAGCTGGAATATTTAAAACATATGTAGAGATTCAGTGGTCACTGACATCAGTGCCATTGAGAAGCCTGGATCAATGTCTATAACTGGAGATGAGCATATTTCATAGATACCCAACCCTTGAAAAGTTCAAAAGGGAAGCTTCACTCCATCCTACGTATACAGTCACACACACAGGTGCACGTGCACACTCACACACATAGCCCTGTATGTATCACCTTTGCCTTTCAACTTGTTTCTGACCAGGACATTTATACCCCTCTAAAAATTCCTGCCAGCTTGTGCCTGGACTGTGTTTCATTCCCTGCACTACATAAGAAGCGAGGTGGATTGCTCACCGTATCTCAAACATGCTGTGCTTTTACATTCCTTTCACCTTGTAGGAAACTTTCTTTGCTGAGTGTTATTTTTCTGCAACTCTTCCTCTTGAAAATTTACTTGTTTAGAGATCATTTGAAATACCATTTTATCTACAAAATCTTTTTTTTTGTTTCCTTATTTACAATTTGTCTCCCCTTTTAATTCTCTCCCATGACCTATCATGTTTACCCTGTCAGGAGGCTTAACTTTGATTGCCTGGTGTTGCAGTTATGTGTATACATGTCTTAGCTTTCTGGATACTTCAGCTGTTCTTACCTTTTACTTATTCTAACATATCTCAAACATTTAAAAAAAAATTAACAGCAGTACCACATGGGAGTTTGTTTTCCTAGGTTAATCTCATGTGTTTGGTTGGCCAGGGTGTAGGTGTGGGCAGGGGAGAAGGAGTATGCTAAATGAAGTTATGGAAGAAGAGAGCTATGCTTCTCTTCCTATTTTTAGTGTTACCATATACCCTTGTAATGGTTTTAGTACAGAAATTAAACCTTAAATATTTTTTTTTATCCATTCTTGTACTTTGAAAGTTTTTTTACACTTAGTGGGAGAGCAGTAAGTAATTATTCAATGTATAAACATGTATTCATTTCATTATAAGAATACTTTCCCAATTACATACTTTTGTAACTTATACATAATTTGTGAGATGGGAATGAGCTTGTAGCTACCTTGACAGAGATGGCCTTTAGGCAAATCAACAGACTCATCAAGCATCCCCTTTTACCCCCAGTATTGTAATTTCTAATTTTAAAATGCTATGGATTTTTAAAATGAACTTAAAGTTTTAAAACTCTTGTCAATTTTGGAAGGTAACATTATATCCATTGCATTATTCTAAGGTAATTTTAAAGAAATATAATCTACTTAAGGGTTTCTTTTTCTTATTAAATAGCTATGATGACACTAATCATACCATGGACCAAGACTACCCTAGACTGATAGAAGAGGAATTCCCAGGAATTGGTGACAAAGTAGATGCTGTCTACGAGAAAAATGGTAACCAGTTACATTGCATTAATCATAAAGGAGGGCTTTTGTATCCTCTTAAATCTCTTACATACAAAAGACTCTTATTGAGGACTTAGATATGCTAATCTACATATGATGTAAGGAATTAATCATTCCAGTATGAATACTTAACATAGATAGCAAACAAGGAACAAAATGCTTAGAATAAATGAGAATTTTACTTAGTGACTGCTAATTTTATAAATAAGGAATATTAAATCATACACATTACCTTAAATTATGTCCAAGGATGCCAAGATGCAAAGGATATTGCTGGAATTCAAATTGGGGGTAGGTAGAGGGGGAGTCATTTAGTTTTTGCTTTAATTATGAGGAGAGATATTATTCCTAACATAACGCATATCAGTAATTCAAGCATCAAAACTGACACTCATGGGAAGACAATTCCATGTAACAATTTAGGAAAACTGAAATATTTAAACATTTCAAAAAACAAAAACCTATAAGGCATACACTCAAACATTAGTAATGTTTAAAGAGAAAGTTTGCGATGTTTATAAGAAGTGATCTAATAGACTGGACCTTTAATACTATATGGAGTAAAACCTTATTACTTTCATACTTTGACATTTTCTTTCTGATCTTTTTCTTGTAGGTTATATCTATTTCTTCAATGGACCCATACAGTTTGAATACAGCATCTGGAGTAAGCGAATTGTTCGAGTCATGCCAACAAATTCCCTGCTGTGGTGTTAAGCATCTTTTTAAAATTGCTATTTAAATCCTGGAGAGTGTTTGGGACAATAATACTTCCAGAAATCTGGAGGTGCAGGGAGGAGAGGTTTCAGGGCAAAGCTTAGTTCTGTGAACAAGCTTCAGGAAGTTAACTTTGAATGTGCAGTATCTGTGTGACTATGCGTGGCAGGCTCCACAATGAAGAATTGTTATAGTACAATTGAGTACCTCCAGGGATCACCTGATTCTTCAGTGCTATGCGGAAGCAATGTTGTATATTTCCCACACCAAAACAGGATGCAGGGTTTGTCAATGAGAGTTAGAATATTTTAAAATATATTTATGAGGAAACTTTACACAGGGATAAAGGTAAATCACATTTATGTAATTACTGAATCATCTTTACTAAAAAGTATAAAATAGTATGAACATAGAATTCAGTAGGAGCATTATGGTAATCATAAATCAACACAGATAAATCAATGGGAATGCCTATCATAAATGAATTATAGACAAATTTCCAAAGAAATAATTTGGATTTTGCCCTGAGTATTCAGATGGGCATATCCCTCTAAGAAAACATCATAGTCACTAAAGACAGAAGACAAAGACCAAAGGTGAGGACTGTAGATTTGGTCATGGAATTCTGAATAATATTCACTTTCAGCCATGGCTCAAGGACTGCTTTCAAATAAGACAAATATTTATTTACATATTTATACCAGATAAAGAGAGATACTCTTTTTATTAAAATATTCCAGGTCTTTCAGAAGTCACACAGTAAAACATTAAAATTGTTACCTAAATAACTTTAGGTCATGGCATCCTTTTTCATGTCATTTGGTTATTTAAAACTAAAAGTAGCATATTAATCCTATTTTATCTAAGTAATTATTTTAATTATCTACTTTATGTTGGACCTGTAGGCTATTTTCTAAATACTTATATGGCAAGAAACAAAATATGTCTTACAAAATGGAAATACAAATGTTAAAATAGAGACATCCAAAATAAAGGAAACCATCTACCAGATTGTGATCCTCCTGAGATATGGGGCTGTGCCTTTTTGTCTACTTTGTGTTTAGTCACCCAGCACTTTTCAGAACATCTGACACTGGGTAGCACACTTGGCACTTACTAAATACATGAATGACCATCAAGGGAAGAACTGTTGTGCCTGAGAGATCATGTTTATAAAAACTTAGGCAAAGAAAGAAAATGTATATTTGCAAAATGTATTAGGAGGTGTCTATGTTTATAATAAAATATTTTCAACAGACGTTGTTTATATATATATTTGCTAATAGAGATGGCTGAAATAGAGGTCTTTGTCTTCCCGTAAGAAAAAGAATTTTAGACATGAGACAGAAAGCAGCAATAAGCAAGGTAGCAAAGCTGAATGAGGTAGTGCATGCGTGAGGATGCATGAGCGTCTCTTCAGATGGACTGGAGAGAGAGTGCCCAATCTGCATTCAGACCAGGGCTTGTAGGGGTACGGGTCCATTTCTCCCCACCATTACTCACTCCCCTTCCCCCTTCTGGAAACAGGGCTTCCTGGGTATGAAGTGCATCTCAAGGTTTTGTCCCCAAGATTATCAGACTGTGTAGGCCCCTTGGCACAGGCCTGGCAGGGAAGACTCTCCTAGGGTGTTTCACTGGGGAAGGCCGAAACCTCCCACACAGCTACATGGAGGATTGGCAGGAGATTGGTGTGTAAAACCCTGGCCAGCTTCCAAGGCACATTTCTGAGGCTACTACATTCCTTTCCCATTCAGTCCCTTTCACACATAGGCTGATGTCTACCTTCTTGCCTAACATTTTGCCTTTAGGTATAATATTAGGGTTTCCTTAAAGAGAGTCTGTTGCAACTATTTCTTGATGAATACGATTCATTCACTATATTTTTTGTTGTTGTTCTAAGAAGAATATATTCTGAATTTAGAATTCTTGTAGCAGTTTGTTAACGTGAGTTTTCACAGAGTTTGCTCAGCCTCATGCTGATGAGCCTTCTGTTTTGGGCCAGCTTCCCTAAATGGAGCCCACGTGTGCCTCAGAAGCTTCCCAGCTGAGAGAATTATTTGTTAATGCAAAGGAAAGAGAAACAGATTGGAGTCAGGAAGATTGAATTCTTTTTTTTTTTTAGATTTATTTATGTATTTGAAAGGCAGAGTTACAGAGAGTCAGAGGGGGAGAGAGAGAGAGAGAGAGAGAGAGAGAGAGAGAGAGAGAGAGAATCTTCCATCTACTGGTTCACAACCCCAGATGGCCACAATGGCTGGAGCTGTGCAGTTCTGAACCCAGGAGCCAGGAGCTTTTTCCAGGTCTCCCATACAGGTGCAGGGGCCCAAGCACTTGGGCCATCTTCTACTGCTTTCTCAGGTCATAGCAGAGAGCTGGATTGGAAGTGGAGCAGCTGAGACTTGGACTGGCACCCATATGGGATGCTGGCACTGCAGGCTGTGGCTTTACTTGCTATGCCATAGTGCTGGTCCCAAATATTGAATTCTAATTTCTTCTCTGCCTCAAAGTCTGCTGTGTGATGCTGTGCAGGGCATTTACTCTCTGTAGACCTTACTTTCCTCACCTGTCTAATGAAAGCATTGGCAACTGTGGTGAATTTGGGGAAACATGAAGAAGGCAGGGAACTTGAAGGAGCAAGGCAAACATTAGCTAGAAACTCCCTGTTTCTAGAAGTTTAGATTATTTCTGTTTTTCCGAAGTTCTGCCCATCTGCTAACATTTAATAAGTGCTTTCTAAATGTCAGGGACCTAAGATGTTTAGGTGAATTTGGCAAACCTGATCTCCACCCATAAAGAGCTTATAACCTAGTACGGGGACAAGCGGGTAAGACAGCAGTTAATATTCAGTGAATTGAGTGTCCTTTTTGGGGAGCGAAGGGACTGCTCATTTTTTCCTCCAACTGTACCCCCAAGGTCAAGCTGCACACGTTTCTGCTCTTTGACAATTTAACAGGGTGTCTGATCCCTAAGTTTTGCCATTGGTGTGGAAAATAGTCCATGCAGCTGTTCTATAAAAATCAGTTGAGCACCTGTCCTGTGCCGGGAACTTAAGTAGATGCAGAGGGAACAGTGAGGAGAAAAATCTCACTACTCTCTAGGAACTCAGTCTTGTTAGGTAGACATTCATCAAGTAAGTATAAATCATAACTGTGATAAAATGTCATGAGACGAATCGTGGGAAGCCTGATGAGGCTTTTCTGTCACTAGTGATGTTTCTCGTTGCTGGGGGTTTTCACTAGGGGCTTCCTTATTGGCAGACATCTGGGTGACTTTCACATTCCCTCTTGACAGATCAACAATGACATTTGGGCAAAGGTCTCACTTTCTGCAACTGCTTCATGCTGGACAGGGGCACTGCATTGGCCCTAAGATTGGCGACCTGTCGGGAAACTTAGGGTGTCTGGGCTGAAGGGATCCATCAGATGGCGGAGGCTCAGCAGAGCAGGGTGATATGCTGAGGAACTGTCTGCCATGTTATCCAGGGCACTGTACGTGGCCTTAGGTGGGGGAACCTGATGTTGAAGGAGTTGCATTCCCATTTGGAAATGGATGTGCTGTACTCTGGACGAGATAAGTAGAATTAGATTGCTTAAAAGAGGAGGCCAAGAGTTTGTATGAGAAGCAGAGATATTAGAGGAGTCATTAGGAGCAGAAAGGAAATAGAAGCTAAAATCTCCACCTGGGGAGATGAGAACCCAAGCCTCGGGTCTCTAACTTTCTTCTAATTTCATTTAACCTCATCTCTGTAAGTTGGCTACTGCTGCCATGTGCTACAAGGGAGCAATGGGCAAGCAGGCTAGCTGGAAGCTGACTTCTGCAACACGATCTATATCCTAGGAGGTATATATCTGAGGCAGACAGCTGCTAGCAAAAGGCTTTCACTAGGGTCTTCCTTATCGCCGGAGGCCCAGGTGACCTCCACAGAAAATGCTACTGAGAAAAGAAATATGGTGCTCTGAACATTCCTAACAAGAAGGATTTTTCCTGTGTGTATATATGTATGTTGGGGGAGGTGGGTGTGGAAAGGAGTTGGTCCAAGGAAGGCTTCACCTGAAAGAAATAATCAAGCTAATATAAAAAGGCAAAGCTTAACTGGGCCGGAGAAGGAAGTCAGGTAAAGGGCTCCGGGCCTGTTGCTCCAGACTGGAATAGATTTTGTGAAACCCAGTGGAGAGTTACAGGAGTGTTTTGTGATGATTTTGGCAGAGCGTGACTTGAGTGAACTGTACTAAAGAACCCAGTGGCTACAATCACATTTCCCCCAGTCTTCAAGTAAGTCACAACACCAAATAGAAATCAATGGGTCTCTAATGAATAAGAAAAAGGATGGACTTATGAAGACTAATGAAAAGATGAACTTTCTTTAGCACAGGAAATCAGTGTAACTGTGAAACATGGTGGACACCTGTCTCCCTAAGAACAGTGGGAAGACCTCACTCTTGGCCTGGAGCCCCATGAATTATCCTGCAGTGGTGAAAGCCCACTCACTGTCCTTGGCCCTCATGTCACATAGTTGACCTGCCTCTCAGGAAAACTCCAGGCGAGTGACTTCTAGTTCTCTGCATAGGCAATATGGCTAGAATAGCACTTCTCATAGCATCTTATGTAGTTCAGAAACAGCAGCATCACCTGGTAACCTGTTAGAAAAGCACATTTTGTGACACCCCAGAACTGCTGAATGAGAAAGCCTGGCTTGGGACCTAGGAATCTGTGTTTTAGCAAGCTCTGTAGGTCCCCAGTTTCTGCAGTCCCCTAAGAAGGACTAAGGACATGTTCCTGAGATTATACAGGTGTTATTGGGGACCAAAAATTCATGGTAAATTCCTGATGACCAATACCTTCTATGCCCCTTCCAGGAGACTCGTGGTTCATGCCAGGTGAAGAAGGAAACTAATGTTTATGAGAAGTAAGGCTACAACCACAGTTAATGTTAGTTGATGGTAGTGTGAATTTAATGAGTAAATGCACTGCACTCAAAAAGCAGCTGGTAATGCCCTGAGCATCAGATAAAGAGAGCAAAGGGTTTAAAAAACCCCTTCAGACAGAACCAATCACCCAGATGTATTTGAAATAGCAGAAATTGACTTACAGTGGTGTAACAAATTTTGCCCTTAGAATTAGCCTGGGAGAACTGTTGTGTTAAATTTAAAGTAGTCTCATGAGGACAGGTGTTGTTGAGCAGCAGGTTAACCTGCGCTTGAAATGCCCACACCTCCTATCTGAGTGCTGGCTCAAGTCACTTTGATGTGCTTCCAGTACAGCTCCCTACTAGTGACCCAGGGAGCAGTGCAAGATGGTCCAAGTACTTGGGTCCATGCCACCTATATGGGAGACCTGGATGAAGTTTCTGGCTCCTGGATGTTTTTAGCCATTTGGGAAGTAACTCAGTGGATGGAAGATCTCTTTTCTCTCTCTCCCTATTTCTTTTTTCTTTTAAATTTATTTATTTTTTGACAGGCAGAGTGGATAGTGAGAGAGAGAGAGACACAGAGAAAGGTCTTCCTTTGCTGTTGGTTCACCCTCCAATGGCCGCCACGGCTGGCGTGCTGTAGGCAGCGCACCGCGCTGATCCGATGACAGGAGCCAGGTGCTTCTCCTGGTCTCCCATGGGGTGCAGGGCCCAAGGACTTGGGCCATCCTCCACTGCACTCCCTGGCCACAGCAGAGAGCTGGCCTGGAAGAGGAGCAACCAGGACAGAATCCGGCGCCCCAACCGGGACTAGAACCTGGTGTGCCGGCGCCGCAAGGTGGAAGATTAGCCTAGTGAGCTGCGGCGCCGGCCTCTCCCTATTTCTGTCACTCAGCCTTTCAGTTAAAAATAACTATTTAAAAATCAGTGTCATGGATTGCCACATCCTCATATCATAATAAAGGCACCAAAACATAAATAGCAGCGACTCTGAAAAGTAGTCATAATACCAAGCTTCCAAATTTAAGCCCTGGTTATAGAAAATATCCCTTGATTTTAAGGATCATAAGGCTGTGAGATTTACAATAGTTCCACCAGGTGG